TCCGCTGAGGAGAAACCGGCCCCCCCATCTCCCCAGCCCCCAACCCGCCCCCGTCGCTGCCCCCGCCGCGGCCCCGGGGGCAGCAGGGCGGGAAAGGTCCCCTGGGCTCCGCCGCTGGGGCGTGAGGCAGCTTGGAAAGGGCTGGTTTCGAAGGGGAAGTGTGAGCTCGGAGGCCTCAACTCGCCCCCTTCTCTGTGCAGACCGAGGCACTTGGCGTCTCGGTGGCGGGAGCGGTTACGGGAGAACCTTTCACCGCGTGTGTTTTGTTTGCAGCCTCGCTGACCCGTTCCTCTGGGGCTTTGGGGGGGTGTGTTTACAGCTCTAGCAGAAGGAACAAGGCTGAGCTACATGTTTTTCACCGCCCCGTGGAAGAATGACAGATGACAAAGATGTGCTTCGAGACGTGTGGTTTGGACGAATACCAACCTGTTTCACTCTGTATCAGGATGAGATAACTGAAAGGGAAGCTGAGCCTTACTATGTGAGTAGTCACAGGCAGGGTGGTGCCTTGGTTAGGATTGTTTCCTTCATTCTCCATCGTGTTGTGAAAATGAGAAAGTAACAACCCTGTTCTCTTATCCCTGGTACCTTCTGCAACTCGACCATGCTCTGTGGTTCATTTCTCTTCACCTTGGGCTCAAAACTTTAAGCTTGTGTCACCAGTGAGATAAACGTACCACAGCTAACTAAGGTCTTGAAAAAGTATATGTATGAAAGGTTGATAAATAATTAGGTAACAGGAAGAGGCTCTACATGCACTTAATGTGATTTTGTGTGTTCCTGGATAATGACCAGAAGAATGAAGAGAACTTGCATGTTACCTTCAGTCAGAGCTTTGTGCCATCTCAAACACCAGTAGCAGTCACCCATGTAACACAAACTCATCATAATTAACTCTGTCTCTGGTCTATTTCTAGACTTTTTCTGCTGATTTTCTTTTTCTTAAATGCAAGCAGCCTTGAGAGGTCAAGCTCAGATGTAGGAAAACCAGCTATAATGTCTCACAGTGCCTAGACTGGGTTGCAAGCTGATGATAAAAACAAGGGTGAGGGATCTATATGAGTTGTAAACTGGAAGGGCCCTCTGTAATAGTGACATTTATTTGCAGTGTGCTTAGCAGTGTTTCAGTACCTAGCAGACATTTGACTGATAGAGAATGTGAGCTGATTCAATGAAACTTAAATTGAAAATGTAACAAGTATGTGGGAGGAAAATCTTTACTGAGTCTTTATGTGAGTCTGAACTCCCTTGTTGTATCCCCTTCTACTTTTTTTAGGAATATTTCTGGATAGAAGTGTTTTTTCCTTCTGTATTGAATAGCATCTGTATGTGTCCAGTTTCTGATTCACGAATGTGTTCAATGAGCTTTTGTAACCTAAAAAAGCATTAATGCTTTTTGTTCAGTGACAACAGTGCTCATCTTTCTATCGTTTAGTTTCACCACTGGTTGATCAAGAGCACTTTTCTGTGGCTGATGGATTGCCAACTACATTTGAACTGTCTGGGAGTCTCAGACTTCAAATTGTATATATTTTAATATACATGTATATATATTGTTAAAATATAATATGCATATATCATATAAGAGTTACATGAAAGGTATGAGTTGAATTATAGAGATGTGCACTTTGGGTTTTTCAGCATGGAAACCCTGAAACCACATTATCTCTGTAGTGTGGCCAGATTTCTGAGTCAAGGAGATAGTTTTAAGCTGATAGATTTTCTTTTATTTACTCTGCTTAAAGTGTGCACAGAAATTCTCAAGGCTTAATTTCGTATTTCTGCAAAATCTAGTTATTCATAGATCACAATTCTAAAATTTCAGCTTTGTCCTTTTCAGGCTGTGTTGGAGCTCTGATAATACAGCTTTTCTTCTTGAAGGGTTTATAATAGGAAAAGGTAGAATAGCAATCAAAGTTTTAGATCATGCCTGAGTTCTCATGGTTTCAGTGTGCATCGAATTCATGTTTTTGTTCAGATCTGGGGTGCATTTTTTTGAAGCAAGTCTCCATCCTTTCCACTTCCTGTGCCCAGGTTTGCATCTCACAGCAGTCCTGGAGCCCACAGGCTGAATCACTTTGAAGGGAAGGTGAAGCAGATGATGTGCTTCAGCTGCCAACAGGCATTTAGTGTATGGGATCAAACTGGAGTGAAATTGAGGTAAAAACATGAAAATCCTCCAAAAGTGAATTAAAAAAGTGAATGTAGTTAACATTCCTGGCCTGCGACACAGACTGTTCAACTTTACATTTCTTATCACACCTCAATACTTGTTAATATAGATATAAACTCTCTATTCCAGGCTGCCTTTCATAAATGGGAAGGTGTCATTGGAAGGAGATAATAGCATTGTTATGTTGAGAGGGGGAAAAAGCTCTGAGGAACTTGCTTTGTGAAGATGGAGGAAGACATAGACCTGGAGAGAGGAGGTAGAAACACAACCCAGAATCTGTGTGATGGATTTCAGTTTGTTGAGAGGCTGGAGACCCTGGTGTTAGGAGTCTTGGCACAGGACAGGAGTACATGCATGTATTTCAATGTGGCAATGGGTAGGGCTGACAGAGCTAATTTAAAATGATCTTGTCTGCCATTTTGGAAAGAGGATGGACATCAAGAGTAAGAAGCTCAGGTAAGGCACTTTCATCTTTCTTCCTGTAATCAAGCCAGGTAGGTGTCTGTTTCAGAGTTACACAGGAAAGAAAATAAACTTGATATATCCATTTCCAGTGTAACTCTATAGTTAAAAATAAAATGTACAGGAAGCAGAGTTATTGCTGACATTCATCAGGTGTAAAATGCCAGAATGACAGCAGAAGGCAGTCTTGGAATGATAGTGCCCAAGGGACCCTCTGCTGGGCCACTCTTAAGCTTTCTCAGTGTCAGAAGAATTGTTCTGGCCAGATGTCTGTAATAGTGAGCAACATGAAGCCACTGCAGGTTGGGGTGCTTTGTTTCTTCATCCTGAATGCATCAGTGATCAAACCAGTTCAGGTGCTGTGTAATCTGGAATGTTTCTGTCATCATCATGTTTTGCCTGTAAAATGGTGTTTTGTTCTGCAACAAAACCCACCAAGGTGGCTGGAGAGGTACTATTTTTACATGAAGACAGATGAAGCATTTAACATGGGCATTAGAAAATTCTTACATTTAATTTAACCTCTATGGAAAGCATTCCTGGTTATTACCATTAAATGCAGAAATGCAAAAGGAGGTTGTTGCAGTTTGCGTGATTTTGGGGATAGCATGTTCTAACCTAGTAGGATTAATTCTGTCTCTTGATGTATTTGGGAGCTTTTGTTTTCATAACCTAAGAAGAACTCTAAACCTTCCTTGTTTGCTCTTTTCCTCTAGCAGTTTTGTGTAACTGTTTGGGTTTCAGTTGTGTGGATGTGAATTGTGTGCCTGTTTTTTACCATTTCTTTCAAAGCTGGGACTAGAAATTGTATTGAAAACAGTTGATGGTTGTTGTGTCTCATTTTTAATCAAGAACTTATACCTGCTTGTTTTAAAAAGATTAAATAATTACATTTGGTATAGCCACTGACATAAGAATTGAGATGCAAATACAAATTTTAGGGTGTTTTCATGTTCTCAGATAGTATTTTTTTAATTGTTAGGACTGAGTGGTTTGTTTGTCTTGTCTTCATTGCTGTTGCAATGTTCAGTCTGATCCCAACAGGTCGTAAACATCTACTTGGCTTTATACCATGGACTTTGGCTACTTTGAGGGAGTTTATACCAGCTTTTTAATTTTACAGTAAGTGGGAGAAAACTTACACAACTGGTTGCTGGAGGGAAAGGCACCCAGCCTCACTTAGCATTTCAGGAATCCTTACTTTGTCTTGACACATAAAAGCAATTCACCCACTGACTGGTTTGGCCTTGAATCTTCTTTTAAGTCTTGTCATTTCTAGGGGATAAAATGGATGTCAGAGTCAGTTGCCAGACAACTTGAATAAAAACTGGGATTCTCTTCTGTTTAATTCCTTATGTGTTATATCATGCACTTTCCTATTAGGTATTTTCTCTCATCCACTATTTAAAATTATAACTAGTGAATCTATGCTAAGTATGCAGTCAGTCTGTTCATTAAAAACTTTGATGCTACCTTTTCTGCATCTTGCCCATGCAGCACTTCAAGTAATTTAATTTATGATGGGCAGTTGTGTCTTTTAGTGTATTATGTAGTGATTTATCAGCCCTACATTCAAGTCGTTGCTTTACTTGCATTGTTGGATGTGTTTGATTTTCATGGCATTTTTCTATTCTTTAGCACAAAGTCAGCTGATACAAGGGTATTGGTCCAAAAAAAAAGAAAATAAAGCAATTGGGCAGATCTGACCTAGTGGAATGAGCTAAACTTGAATTAGTATGTCTCTGTTATCACTGAATCATGGCCTTTCATTCCCAGCATCTAGAAATATTGCTGTAGGATAACCTGCATGGGCTGGTTTAGTAGTCAGTAGCAGATGTGTTTGTGGGAGAGGTGTCATTCTGGTGAATGTGGCTTTGCCTGCAAGGAAGGCTCCTTGCCAGATGGGTGAAGTATTGGAGAAGCTTGTGAGAGTCTAATAGTCTAGAAGGTGAACTGCTCCGTAGAATTCCAGTTTCATACAAAAGCCTCTATAAAAAAAAAAGTGATTCTGCTGTCAGAGAGATTGACTAAAGCCCAGCATATCTTAGAATAGTTTGGGTTGGAAAGGATTTTAAAGGTCATCTAGTCCCAACCCCCATATAGTTAAATACATTAAATGGTTGTTTTTCTAAATATTTTTTTTAGTACCTTTCCTCTGGAAATACTCAGTAATAGCATGTAAAAATTACAGGATTTTGGAGTAAAAATGTCTTGTGTCAACTGATGTCTTTCACTGAGTGTAGAGAACTGATGGAGAAGGGTAACAACATGAAAATGTCTTCAAATTATATTTTAAAGGTCTGGCTTAACAGATTTGATATACTTGTAAATCTCAAGCTTAGTTAAAGCTAGAAAAGTGGTAGGAATTGTATCCTTTCATGTCCTCTGTGGAAGGGGAAGAGAGTAGCAAGGTAAAAGCAGGGAGAGCAGCCAAAAAAGAGGTCAGTAGGTGCTGCAGATCCTCAGCATCTCTGAGAAACAGGCAGTCCCTGTTAACCTAATTAACTGTTGGGTTTTGTCCTCCAGGGAAGCCCCTTGGAAGTGCTGGCCATGTTCTGTGGAATTCCATTGGGTTATTGTCTGTGATCAATAATTGTGTTGAAATAGAAACTGTGTTGTTCTTCCACACTATGACCTGAAATAAAGTAGTTTACAGAGGAAATCAGTTCTGCAGTTTCAAGGGTTATGTCAAACAGTGTTGCAATCAGTGCTTTAATCCATTTAGCAATTCCTGTGTGGCTGTGCCACATGCAGGATGCTGAAAATTGGGTCTTGAAACAATCCAGATGGATCTCCTATCAGAATATACCATCATTCACTTAACTGCAAATGCCACACAGGAATAATATGGAATTACTACAAAAATTGTATGGGTTTGACTGGAATATCCTGGACTAGGTTGTCTTGAGAACCATCAGTGTAGGTACATGGAATTAGGTTACTAAAGGAAAAGGTGATAGTGTCATTCAAGTCACTGGTGAACCAAAAGGTTCTCACTTGGGTGTGTACGTGGCAATTTTACTAAGTTTATAAGTTTATTAAGATTACAAATTTTAAAACTGAAGGCTGTGTTTAATTACCTTGCTGAATTAGACTCCTATGAGAGAAGGTAGAAACAGTATGATGATGGTAGTAAGAGCAACAGATGGAAAAAGAAAACCAAATGCTACACAAAAGATCAAGTGTTAACTGACTTGGTTATTGGTGAGTCTTGATCTTTTGCAATTTTATATAATCCTAAAGTTGTTTCACAGGTATATGCAGGTTAATAACCTGACTCAGCATTATCTAAAAGACAGATCCATTCTCTTTCAAAAATCTTACTCTTTATTTACTTTCCATACTTCTTTGTGAATCTGATCTTTATAAATAAATTATAGTATCATGGCCAAAATACAATCTCATTTATGTGTCAAAGTGTGGTCCAATTGTTGGAGAGATTAAGGAAGAATGTTGCACCAGACACCAAGTTTTCTGTCAGGCAAAATGCATCCTTACATGCTTTGGGATGTTTGTACCATAGACATTTACTTAAGGCCTAACTTTATCCATGTACTATAAAGAAACTATATTAAGAAGATGCAGTAGTTATGAGGAACACCACAAAACAAATGTTTCTCTAAATATGCAAAAAATAAACTTACTCCTGTTTATTCTGTGGTCCCATCTATTGTTCTAATAAAAAAAAAAAGGAGGGATGATAATAAGATTAACATGGCATTCTATTTTGGATACTTGAGAAGAACTCTGAATTTTGGTTATGAAAATGCATACTTGTTACAAATTTTCACTGATTTAGGGAATTTTATGTATACTTAAAGGTTCTATGTTATTTTCTTTCAGTTGCTTTTGCCAAGGATAAGCTACTTGACACTGGTGACAGACAAAGTCAAGAAACACTTTCAGAAAGTTATGAGACAAGAGGAAGTTAGTGAAATATGGTTTGAATATGAAGGCACACCACTGAAATGGTGAGTGTATTTAACCTTTACTTAATTAATCATGTAGAGAGTTACCAAGCTCAACACAGTGTCAGCACTTTTCCCAAAGTAATTACTCCATTGCATTTCAAAGATGGCAAAAAGAGGAGGGTAAGAAAAGCATGTTGTTTGGGAAAACCAGCATATTTTTTACTATTCTGCATGTGCTCACAATATTTATAAGGCAGACGTTATGTTGCACCTGTTGTTTTTGTTCTAGGTCCTGTAATATGAAATGCCTGTGGTTTCTGGCTTTACTCTTTCTTGCAGTATAATCACCAAATAAATCTTTATTTAACTTGTTCTACCTCCTTAGTAGATGCCTGTTAACATAGATAGGAAACATTCTTTCTAGAGTCTGAATACAAGTAGGATATATGCTTAAAGATAATAAAACATGTGCATGACCTTCACTTTTCACTGGTGTGATGTGTCCTTGCTCTGTAAAACAGAAAATCTGATAGTGATGCACAGGCTCTTTTTGAATTCAGTTAGTTCAACTTTCTTGAACTGATTGCTCATGATTCTGTTTTTGTGCTGTTTTGTGGTCTATTAAGTGTCTTTTAATTTTTTTTTCCTGAGAGGTTGAGGAATCAGGCTGCTATTGTTTCATTTACTTAGTTCTCATAAATACTGTTCATCAGCTTGTGTTTCTTTCTGTTTCCACCATGAGGAAACCTTGAAAGCTGCAATGTTTGCAGCTTCTGTGTAGATAGCAGCAGCTCTTTAGAAAATGTTTAGTTTTTTGCATGCTGAAGAAATTTTATATCTCTCTTTCCTGTGTCATGATAGGGAAGAAAACAACCAGTGACTCTGTTAGTTTCTTCAACCTGGCTTGTCTTGTGATGGGCAAGCATCATGTCATGGAGTCCCCTTAGACTTGGTAATGCAGTAGATCTCTTCTAGTCTTTTGTTTCTTTGAGGTCAGCCTGATGTAAACATTGAAAATATGTAAACAGAAAAGCATGAAAAACTAGCTGCTTTCACTTTTTCCAATCTGGCTGGCAAAACCACCTTTAAACATCTATTTAAATTATCTGGAATTTAACAATAATTGGTTTCTTAGTGTACTATAGGGACCTTGAGTCATGGATACTGTCTAAATCAACAGCAAGTAGCACCAAGTTTGTCCCAGTGTGTTCATAATCTTGGGTAGATAATGGGAGGAAAATGTGTGAAGTTTTGTCTGAAGTTGTAAAAAGAGAGGCTTTTTACTTCAACCAAAAATAGATCTATATTTTCTGTAAGTTTTCAAATATGAAGCTTAGCTGTTCTGTTTGATTTTTATTTTTTTTTAGGGGACAATCAGAGGCTCTCTTGGGTTTTTGAATGTCATTGTTTTTTAATTCTCCTGGTTACTGTAAGTTCTAGGGAGCATTTGTATTTATTCAACACCTGTTTTTCAAATAGAATTTCAGAAACAGCATTGCTGCAGTACCACTGGAAGCAAGATTTTTAATGAAGGAAGACTGGCTAAGTAGATACACTTAGGATTGGAGTGAGGGAATGTTGTTTGGGGGGTTTTTATTTATTTTTTTAATTCCATCTACAAATTGACAAGTCCTCTTGTCAGCTTCTCTCTTTGTGCCTCCCTTAATTCTCTATCCTGGTTAAGAAACCAGGTTTTATTATGAAGGAAACACAAATAATAGCTTTACTATTGTTTTGTTGTTTTTCCAGATTCTTAAAAAATGCTGGTAACTGTATCTCAAAAGTAAGTGAAGCACAGCATTGTGTACAGACATTACTTCAGGCCTGTACTGGCTGGAGATTAGATGCTGGTGTGTGAGAAATGGAATTGAAGTCTTATATCCCAGGATTGCTTCATTCCTGGTGTGAACTTTGCCCCTTATGGAAGGCTGGACTTCTGGATAGAAAATTATTTCTCTCATGGTCTGTCTTCATTAATTTCATGTCTTCTGCTACGCAACAAATTTAATTTAGTACTGGCCTCTCTCAAAATAAAAGCCATGTATGAACTGTGCAAAGCACAAGCATTTTACTGAAGAAGGCTTGAGTACATGGACTTTATTTTGTAATCTACACTGGGTAGAAAATACAGTGGTAGACCAAGAACTGATGGTGTCTCTATTTTGTTGTATAAATTGAAAGTAACTGAAATCCTTTGTGTTCATCTTGTTATCACAGGAAGTCTGATTTTTGTTTCTTAGCTCACCTGGAAAACCACTTTTTCATGGAACTCTTGCTGGATCCTTGTTGAAATGCTCAAGACACGATAGGCAGTTAGTAGTTAAAAGTCTTAGTAGCATAAAACTTAAGCATTAACAATGAATCAGGATAAACCTGGATCTGTTATTGTCTGTATTCTTTATTTCCGTTGTCAGGAAAACACGATTTTAGGTACTTTTAAGAAGTTACACATGCAATATGTAAATTAAAGAGCTGTAGTACTGGTTTGTTTTTTTGTTTTGCTGTTGTGAAGCGACATCACAGATTCTTTGACTGTGTCTTAGTTTGGGGGCAGGCTCACCTGTAGAGGGTGCTGGAGGACTGTTGTGTGAGGGTTTAGCAGGTCGGGAGATGGGCTTGGCACAGGTGCTTTTGGAGCAGTGCTCTGAGTTACTGCTGTCTGAACTTTCTTGGCTATACATCCTGTAATAAATCCCATTTAATTCAGTGGAACTACTGAGTTTTCAATTAAGTGTGTACTTATCTCTTTGTAGAATGAATAGCTAGTAAGGCTCTTTTATTTAAAAAAAAAGATTTTGTCAAAAATCTTGCCAGTTTCTGCTTGTGAGAAGATGGTAGAAACATTTTAGGCTGCCTTTGGGAGTTTTGTGTATGTGATGTGTTCCTTGAGTTGCTTGAGGCTCTATCTTCTAATGTATTTAAAAGAGATAAACCTGTAAGACAGAAGTGAGTATTTGGAGGAAGCAGCTTCTTTGGGTAACTCCTTTAATCCAGAATATGACTGAAATACAAAACTGCAATCAATCTTTTTTTTTTCTCTCTCTCCCATTTTACTTAATTTGATGGTAAAGGTATAGAGTTCATCTCTGTCCTCTTTTCAGCCCTTTTACAGATCTGTTATTTCTTCACTTTACTAGTTACTCTCCACAATGACTTGAGGGAAGAGATGTTAGGGTTGATGGGGTATAAACCCATGGTGTTTAAATATCTGAAAGCACATATACTTTTCTTTCAGACCAGATTCCTACCATTATCTAGCTTTTTAACTAAAAATATTGTTTTTGAAGGGTGCTAAAGAGCAGCTGTAGGCCACTTATGTTGTTGCAAAACTAGTAGTGTTTTGTGGGCACAGGTTGGAGACCTCTGGTTTGGATATTGAACTTACAATTTCCAGACTGGATTCTGCCAGAAGCTGTCAGTCAGTTGTCTGTATAACTTTTCTAAATGAGCAATGATGAATATGAATAATGTTAGGAGTGAAACAGCTTGGGTTTTTTTTCATGTAAATGCAAGTATTTTAACTGTCAAGTGGAATTAAATGCCTGGCTTTCATGTTCATTTAATATCTCTTCATTTTTAGGCATTACCCAATTGGTTTGCTGTTTGATCTCCATGCATCAAATACAGCCCTTCCTTGGAGCATCACAGTGCATTTCAAGGTAAAACTGAAATCCACCTTTAGTTAAGAATAAGTGAGCCTGAGATAAAGTGAAATTTGGAAGCTAGGAAAAGGTTTCATTATTAGTTTATTAAAAAGTGAGTGGTATGACTTGAAAGGGAGAATGTTCATTCTTCAGGGATAATCTAAGGTTTTCTGTAACTCTACAGCTGTTTTCCATGAGATGTTATGGGCTTTCAAACAACCCTCCTTTGAAAGTGATTCTGTTATAATCTGAACATCCAAAATTACTTTTCAAGTTAAGTTATGAGACTGTCAGTGCAACTGGGTGGATATAAGGGAAGAATGTTTCTAATTCAGTGAGCTTAAGCTGACTTAAGAATGGGAAGCACTTCTTTTTAGGCACATGAGCATGGATATGAGATACTGTAGAAATCGTTGAAGTCAGGGGGTGCTGTTTTACTTCATAGGGTCCCCTTGAGAGAACTGAGTTTGGTCTTGTGACAGCTTAGTCACAGGAGAGACATCATTTTGATTACATGTTGTAAAACCATTAAGGGTGACTTCATATGCTCAGAAGAGTATTTGCAAAGGGTTGGCTTCAGTGCAGGATTCTTTCATACTCTGAAATGCAATGAGACAGTAATTCCAGGTATGTTTTGAAGTCAAAATCAAAAGTAGCAATCACGGCGTTTAACTTTGAAACTTTAGTTTCTCCATTGTAAAAGAAACAATGCACTAGTAAAACTGATTCAAGTGAAAACACTAGGTTAATAGGCTTGACTTCAGCCTGTGAGATTGGAAGTGGAAAGCATGCTGGGAAGTAGTTGTTTAGAATGTTTTCACTCAAACAATTCTGCTCCTGAAGGTATTTTTAAAAAGGTCTTGCTAGCAGGAATAGTCCAATTCTTTTTGGAAGCCTGCACTGAAATGATACATTCTTGTGTATTTCCACATGTTGAAACTCTTAATATGACTGACTGAGTCTGAGATAGGGATGTTTTTGAAACCATTGTAATTGCTCACTTCTGACATATATGAGAGAGAGCTGGGATGAAGAAACTTAGAGTTTTTTGAAGAAGCTGTAGGGCTTCTAGTTTTGTAAATCATTATTTAATTGTTGCAGATTTTGAGAGCTCTGGGAGGTGAGCAGTGGCAGTGTTCAGATATTGCTGTCCCAAAGCAGAGCCTTTTTGAGAACTAAGTTGCAGCACCACAATGCTTTTCAATTTCATGTAGCAATGTAAACTGACTTTAATGTCCTTCTTTTACTGCTTGCCAAAAGATCAGCCAATTTAGGTTTGTACGTAGAAGATCAGCAGAAATAATTTACTGCTAAGGCAGTATTATTTTAAAAGCTGATGTAATTTAGTTTTTAAAAATATAATACCTTGGATTAAGCACCTGCCTTTAATCTCTCTTCCTGTTCTTGATATAATCTGAAAGTTCATTTTAATAAACCTCTCTTTTAATCCTTAGAGTCAAAACATGACTGAAATGTATCCAAAGTATGTCAAAATATTGAAGACGTTTTCATGTGTTAGTTTCTTACAGCTAGTTTAGGTGTAGGACTCCTGCCTGGATTATTCTTTTATTTTGCATGTAGTTATTCTTCAAAGAGCCATAATTTTTATTTATTTTAATTGAATGGTATTAGATATTTCTGAAGCTTAACTTTTTCTGTTATGGCTTTCTCTGTTCTTTTACCAATTCATGCAGCCACCAACAGGGATCTTGATACCTGCAAAGAGTGGTTTGTAACTTCTCCCCTTTCCCCTCCCCTCCCCCACATTAGTTCTTTGTTTAAAGTTAAAAATGTGGAAGAAGTTTATTCTGGTCAGGAGAAGTCTGAAAGGGACAGACTTGTGTTTGTCCTTCTGTTACGTGTATGCAGACCAAATAATAAACACTGTTATTGTTTGCATTGAAGAAACAGTTTATTCATTTGTACTTCTAGCATACAATAAAATAAATGCATTGTTACCTCTATTAAATATGTATATATTTATATAAATATATATTTATATATATTTCAATATATATATTGAAATGTAGTTGCTGTAAGTAGTCATAAAAGGACAAGCTTGAACAGAGTGCTAGGGGAGTGAGAATCATGAGAAGCCCTACTCTGGAAAGTTGCTTTTGTTATCCAGGTGTGGCTTTCTGGGAAGAAGGGAAACTATCCCTTGCTGATAATCTCTTCTCATGCTACTCTGGCATGCTTAGTGCTAGTCATGTTCTGAGTGTGGTAACCAGCTCTAGATTTTTGGCAGTGGGTATGAAGTGGTGAAGTGCTCTGGAAGTGGTAGCGGCAGAGGAAGGTGTGTGTGTGGTAGGGGAAAGGCAAATATTTGTCCTCTGCTGAAGCTCTTACCTGCTGGTACCTGCCTCTCCGCCCATGATCTGATGTGGAGGAGAAACTGCATCTGGTTTTGTATAACTTCATATGTCTTGTTTTTCTCAGCTCAAAATTGGGTCAGGTGAAGTGAAAAGGAAGTAGCATATGTAGCATACGTACCATATGGATTAATTGTGGAACTGCTAGGAGACATTGCGGAAGCCAGAAGTGTATATTAGAGTTTTTAAAAATTAATCTTTTTCTCAAAAAAGACCACTGATGACAACTGAACACAAATATATGGCTGCTCTTCCTGCTGCTCCATATGTTCCTTATGGTTTTTAATGCCCTCTTATTGGTGTTATTTTCTGTAGATTTAGTCTAATGCAACTAGACTATTGTAGTATAAACAGATGATTTGTGAACTAGAATGGATGGATAAAAATGGGTGGAAAAGAATTATGAAACCAGAACATTGAAATTGCCTGCCATGGTTTTGGAACAGTTCTATGTGAGAGGTCATTTAGTGCTCCTAAATGTTCTTCCATAGACACTATAGTGTCTGTGCGGATGATACCTGCATCTTTATGAGCAAGTTGATGCTGCAAGTGTCTACTGGTATGTAAAACAAAACCAGCACTACTAAGAAAATCAGAGTCAACCCTTAGTGACTTTTGTTTCAGAGATACAGAACCCAAAGGGAATGACACATCACCAATAAGACTACCTGAAATAAAGCTGCTTATGGAATCTGTTAAAACTTTCTGCAAATCTCATACTTGTATAGCAGGGGTGGCTACCAGCTTGTTTGCAATTGTCTCTTCAGGGAACTGAATAGTTCTTTACCTTCCATCACACTTTCCTCAAGTAGGAAGGAGGGTAGAATTAAAAAGAAATCAACAAAAAAATCCATAAATATTCTATATTTATGAATATAAGTTATTATTCCGTGCCCTAGTTTAAAAATCAGTGGGCACGCCCTGCATTCTGTTCATAGTCTCATGTAGGTGAAACTGTTTCATATGCCTCTTGCAGATGCAGCACTGCTAGTCTCCAAGTTATCACTTTCATGTTTAGCTTCTTCAGCTTCTGCTCACAGTGCTGTGTAGAAATGTGTTGGTGTTTTTCTTCTCAGGAAAAATTAGACACCACTGAGATTGTAGGATTGTTTTCCAGGCTTCCACAGTGTTTTGCTTTAGAAGCTGGGAAAATGAATCATGCCACACCTTTGTACTAATCTGGCTAGATTCTTTCCACTGGCTTAGCTAGCTTTGACCAATTTTAAATACCTCCTTGCTGTTCTGCAGACTACACTGTGCAGGTTCTCTGGAATGCATCCCAAGGGAAGTGACATTCCCTGTAATTTGAAATTTGTTGGGAGAAAGTTAGCAAGGAGATGCCTACCTATAGAAAGACAGGACTGTCCAAAAAAAGACCCTGCAGTTCAATATACTTTGACATCTGTGTAACAAAACTTGTTTTCATAAACTTAGCTTAAAACATCAGCTTTTAGCTGTGAAAGTCAGTTCCTAGGCTCATGTGTTACTTGACAGGAGGTACATTCCACTGCTCACCCTTTTTTGAGGGATAGCACTGTCTCATTTTGAATTCTTGCATGTAAAGAACTGCTTTGATCTTAAAGTATGCTACTTCTGACTGGTCTTTTCTTCTGGATTGCTTACCAGACTTTCCTTTTTCTATTTAAGCAGCTAAGTTAAACTTCTAAAAGTATTTTACAGGCCTTGACAGATGTCAGCTGGCAAGTAGCAATCCCAGTAATGTGTTCCATTCATCTTGGGCCCAATTATGCTGAGACACTCAGCTTTGTAGGGGAGAAAGGGAGTCAGGTCTGCCCTAGAAGAACTTTCTATTCTGTCCTCTTTCATGTGTTTTTACTTGGCCATCCTCATATAAGAAACAAGACTTAGCTCTGTCCTTAGATTTTAGTCAGCTCTGTATACATCAGACCTTAGTAACACAAGCACTCCCTTTTTGAGTGCAACACCAAACCATGTATGCTTTGGTGCAAAAGGTATGAGCAGTCTTCTCTTCCCTTTATGCACTCATTTTTGGAAGATACTCATCCTTTTGATCCACAGTTTCCATAGTCTGGGTTCACTGTTGTAAGGAGGAATCAGGATGTGAAATTTCATTATTTAATTTCCATTACTTTTCAATAACCTCATGAGAAGGGAAACTATAATTCTTGTCCTCAGAGTTTCCTTCAGGTAAGGCAATCCCCAGCTCCCTTTCATATTGCCAACTGTTAGTAGTTCTTGGATATTTTGAGCTCCCATAGTCTGAAGCAGCCTTCACTATTTTTCCTGGGTTTATCTGGAGGAGGGAAAGTATGGGTTTTTCCAGCATTATATTGCTCTTACTCTGGCATGTTAACTATGTTATAAAAGCCTTTGAAAAACACTATCATATATACTTGTATTTTCAAAATGGTTCTGACAGTCCCTCACAAAACCTTTTTTTAAATAGCCAATTTGTAATGGGTTAAGAGGAAAGGTCCTCATGTGGGAACAACAGATGAGAATTAAAGTATAAAAATATGTGGCAAGCTCTTGTTAGGAAAGGGCAGTACTAGTGATGCCACTCTTGTTTGGCTCTGGGATTTACATTGTTCAGCATAGTCATAAGCAACTGTGAGAAGAAATTTAATAAGGAGGAGCTAAAATGCACTGGGTTTTTTAACCTTTGAGAACTAGTGACAATAACTTCATGATATTGAATGCTTGTATTGTAAAATGGCAAGTGATACTAAGTGTTAGTAAAAGAAAAATGAGAGACAGGACAGCAGTAACTGTATACCTATACAATACTGGACTTATATTTAGTTCATTTCCAGATACATCTCTTTTTTGTACCTGGACAAGATTTACTACTCTAATAATAAATGAATTAGGGAAGAAGTTGGCATTTAGTGAGGGGATAAAGGAGGAGGAGTAACTGTGTGTCTGCAGTGCTGAATGCTGTGTGCCAGCTCTAGCCAAATAAGAGGGTTCAGCATCAGGCACACTGGCTGGCAACAGGCAGATGTGTTAGGTGAAGGTGGAGCTGAGAAAGATTTCCAGAATCTCTATGGAAAAATGCCTTTAAGTCACATAACTGCTGTAGTCCATGGATTTGGATGATGGTACTGGGAGGAAACATTTTTTTTAAAGGTCTGCAGAGAAATGGGTGCTGAACTGCCACTGAGAGTCAATAGGAATTGGGTGCTTGTCACTTTTCCCCCTTTCCTCCTGTTCATTGCCAGAACTGAACATCTGCTTGAAAGCATATTAAACCTCTTCATTTCCTGAATTTTGGGTGTACGGGCCTAAATACATCCACTGTTATATTTAAATGTATTTATCGAGTTGAGGTTGGGTGATTCAGAGTTAATTTGTGTTTTTACAGAAAACTGTCTTAACTTTTATTTTTCCTGAAATGTTTTTCACTGTAAAACAGTCACAGAGTGACTGTTACCTTCTTCCATAAGTAGGATATTCCCAAGTGCATCTTTTGTATAAACCTAAACCTGATTAAAGTTATCATTTATTCTTTATCTTCTAAGGTATGTGATGCATTTATTTCTCTTGATCCATCTTTTCTCTTTGTAGAATTTTCCAGAGAAGGATCTTCTACACTGCCATTCTAAGGATGTGATTGAAGCTCATTTTATGGCTTGTATAAAAGAAGCAGATGCTTTAAAGCACAAAAGTCAAGTCATCAATGAGATGCAAAAAAAGGATCATAAGCAACTGTGGATGGGATTACAGAATGGTAAATATCAAGCATCAAGTAGAAATTATATTGAGGTCTGGCATGCTAATAAATAATTTCTTCACATTTTAGTTCTGGTACAGAGTATACAATGCCATTCTTACCCAGAGTTTTAGCCTAATGTCACATAAAAGACATATTTCTTTTAAGAAAAGTCACCATTTATGTGACAATCCAAATGTGGTTGGTGTTATTCAAGGAACTAAATTGGGTCACGACTCTGTTTTTAACAAACCAAAACTAGTAAAAAAACAAAATAAATAGTTAAATATTGACTAGTTTACTTTAGTGCAGCTGATTGTCTTTATTTGGGAGACACCTGGGGTGTAAGTGTTGTTCAGTATGAACTATCTTGGACTGTACTGTGAAAAAGGTTGTCTCCTCTAGGTTCTCCTCTAGTTGGTCCCTAAGGATTGTCAGTGATACACAATAGAGGTAAACCTTCAAAAAAGTTGCCCAGTAGATTAATAATTTTACTTTTCTCTTTGCCAAATTTAATTTTTTATTGCTGATATTACTGTGGCTTTCACAAAGATTTCTGCCTAGGTAAGTATGGACTTGAAAAAGTCAGCAAAAAAACCTTAGAAGTTGTGGAAGCCCCATTCCTGGAAGTGTTGAAGGGCAGGTTGGATGGGGCTTGGAGCAACCTGGTCTGGTGGGAGGTGTCCCTGCCCATGCAGGGGGGTTGGAACTGGATGACCTTGAAGGTCCCTTCCGACCCAAACCAATAAAAATAATTCAGAACAGGATGTTCTAAACAAATTAGTGTTCTTACTTTGCATGGATGACATGAATCTATATTGCAGTGCAAAATAGAACTTGTTTTGGTTTTAGTGTCTCTTCTTTCTTATCATGGTTCCTAGAGGCCTGTAAGTTGAAAAGCATTTTGAATATTTCAGGAACTGCTATCTTTGAAGGGCAGGTTGGATGGGGCTTGGAGCAACCTGGTCTGGTGGGAGGTGTCCCTGCCCATGCAGGGGGGTTGGAACTGGATGACCTTGAAGGTCCCTTCCGACCCAAACCAATAAAAATAATTCAGAACAGGATGTTCTAAACAAATTAGTGTTCTTACTTTGCATGGATGACATGAATCTATATTGCAGTGCAAAATAGAACTTGTTTTGGTTTTAGTGTCTCTTCTTTCTTATCATGGTTCCTAGAGGCCTGTAAGTTGAAAAGCATTTTGAATATTTCAGGAACTGCTATCTGGAACGGGCAATAATATCACTTACAATGAATTTTCCTCATCTTCTGAAGCTCATTATATTATTTCTCGTATTTATTTTACAGAAGCTGTAAGCATGAAGATGTTTATTTTATGTTGAGACACAAAATACTGAACACTTAGTATTAACATTGTCCCCTGTGTTTATAAGGAAAATTGAATTAAACAGGAGAAGCTCTGAAGTTCAGGAAGGCTTGAGGCATGTGTTTCTTTTAGACTCTGGGGTTCCAAATTAGTCTGGGTTTAATGTGTTTATGAGTACATGTGTTTTCTGATTTTCTTTTTCATTGTTTAGTGGTACTTTCTTTCATATTAAAGGTACTCCTGTAGAGATTTTGAAGGTTGAATGTTTATTAGAATCTCTGGTTTCTATTTTTTTATTTCATTGAAGGAGAGTTAGAAGTTGAGGTATTATCTTAATTTACCATATGAGTGGTAAGATCTTGAGAGATGCAGTACAAAATTTATCTGGTAAGAAATTGCTCTTTGTCTGGTTCAAGTCAAAGCACTACTTGGGAGTTTCTGTTCTGTGTAGATATTGCCCATCAGACTGACTGATAATATATTAATAATATATTCAGTGTTGGTGAATTAGCAGTAAATAAAGAGTTTTGGTCCACAGGCAGCCAGAGTTGGTATAAAAACAGATGTTTCCTTAAAGCTTCTGTTGTTACAAGTCAATTTAAAATGCCATTTTAATAATTCTGCCAAAAAAAGTGTTCTGCTGTAATAGTATTTGTCTTGCAAGCAGTTTAGCTCAAGAAAAGTAGAATGCTGTGCCAGCTTAAGTTTGTTTTCTGTTTCAAGAATTATGAGCTTCATTGCAAACAACCCAATCCTGTCACTTAGTCCCATTGCTGCATTGTTCCCAGTAGTGCACTTTACGTCATTTCTTATTAATGCTTTTAAAAATTAAAACTGAGACCTCTACCATGAGTTATGATTGTAAAGAGTTATAATACTGGCAGAAGTGTTGCCTACACAGTGAAATGGTATGAATTAAGGTTCTTTTCTTAACCAGAAATTATAGAACCTCAATACCCATAATAGATAAGAGAACAGATAGGCAGTGTGTTCTTTCCATGCTTGTCTTTGGCTCTTTTATTTCATTATTTGTCTGAGTACCCTCAGAATTTCATTGTTTTGCTTTATAATGTTAAGAACAGAGGTTGCCTAGCAAGGTTGATTTCAAGAAAGTTTCACTGCACTTAATGAGAAATTGCACCTGTGGAATCTGACACCGATATGAAAAGTTTAAACAATCTTTTGAATACTTTCAAATGCTAATTTTAATTTCCCAGCTCTTCATAAAAGAGAAACAAGAAAAGCTTGTGAAACCAAGAAAACTCTTTTTAAGCATGCAGTAGCTTTCAGTATGTTTTTATAGGCTTTTGTTTGAGATGTAATAATGTTAAACCTCTTTGTGAAACAGAGTCAATGACCACAAAAAAGAAAAGAAAGTAGCATTTGTGATAACTGCCTTGTAAGTAATGATACATCTGCAGTCTTTTTTTTTTTTCTGTGAAACTTCAAACAATTTTCTTCAGTTCTTAAAGATAGGAAGTGTTGTTTGTTCAGTAAGTGACAGCAATGCTTACAGGATATGTATTAAATTTTTTGGAAAAAAAAAATCTAATTTTGCTCGTTTTGAGAAATGTAACTGCCAATTACAAGTCTCATTTGGTTTAAATGTTTCTGCTAAAAGGGAGGTACTAGAACAGATAGCATGAGAAACTTCAGTTTTAGGGGAAGAGCTGTAATAGTGAATTTGTGACAGAATCTTGTGCTGGTAACAGCTGGTAAATATTCATAACAAGCCTTACGTCCCTCCTCCCACCATTTCTTGTTTGTGTTAATCTGCTACCAACTCAGGAAGGTAAACATACTTTTCTGTCTATTGTTTGTGCTGTGGTTTTGCTTGTTCTTCAGACTTCAGTTAGCCATTTTTGGCCCACAAACCAGATATTTCTTAGCTAGAACACTTCTTTGGGACAGGTACATCTGTGTTGCCCTAATTTTGACCATTGTCCTGGATATCTGACAGTGTTAGGGAAGCAATAAAGGCAGGCTAGGTAGCTACACTGACCTCTGTTCCTTAGTAAGACTTGTTGAAACTCTTTGGTCAGAACTAATGGAATATGAAGATAGGCTGAGGAAGTTGGGGTTGTTCAGACTAGAGAAGAGGAGGCTCCGTAGTGACCTTATATCCAATACCTGAAGGGGGCCTACAAGAAAGAGCTGGGGTAGGACGTCTTACATGGGTGTGTAGTGAGAGGACAAGGGGCAATGGTTTGAAGCTTAAAGAGGGGAGATTCAGGTTGAACATGAGGAAAAAGTTCTTTCCTGTGAGGGTGGTGAGATGCTGGAACAGGTTGCCCAGGAAGGTTGTGGCTGCCCCATCCCTGGCAGTGTTGAAGGGCAGGTTCTGTGAATCTGTGTTACTACTTTTTTTGCTTTAATAGTTTTATGGCCATTTTTATAATGAATAAAGATGATTTTCAAGTGGGTGATTTTTGTTTCCTCTTGCTTTTTGTGTGGAAAAATAAAGGCTTTCAACTTAGAAACATTGAGACTTTGTGGGCCTAGTGACTTACAAACAAATAAAAATCTAAACTGCTTTTAGAGGGAGAGCTGTATTTTTTTGCATAGCTCAAAGAATTAATATCTATAATGATTCTGACAAAGGAGGGTTTTTAGATGTAACAACTGCTTTTCATCAGTTGTGGGGAAACATAAGCAACCAGGCCCTAAAATTTTCACAGGGATCCTTTATAACCAGTGAAGACTAGACTTGGTATTTCTGATGCAGGAGAGGGGGAAATAAACAGTAAAAACTCGTGGCTGTGTTTAAACCTTCTTTATATATTATAAAATATAATGAAGTAATTATTTTACTGAAAACATTATGGAAAAAGAATTTAATACTCATTCATACTGTAGGACTTACCAAAAGTTGGCCATATTGAAGTGTTCTTATTAAAGGAGAAAAACCCTGCAAACACTCAGAATATGCAATATTTTCTTTGCATTCATGTGATCTCTTTCTTGTCTTACTGACAGAATCAGGTCTGTGTTTTCTTACACTTCATTCTAAATGGTATCTAAACCAGTCCTGGGTTTTTGAGGGGCAGAAGTTGTGTTGTTTTCTGGGTTATCCCATTCCTGTTTCAAAATGTTTGAACTGCCAAAAAGAAACAGTGCAATAAATACCAGCATTTCCTTTCTGCTTTGTACACATGGCCCACTCAGGTTTGCTCTGTGTGTTTCTCCTCTTTGTAGGGAACTGGTGGAAGCAATGCTGTTCTTTACTTCAGCCTGAGATAATAAGCAAGCTGAAGCAATGCTGTTCTTTACTTCAGTCTGAGATAATAAGCAAGCTGAACAAATCTCTAATATCAACTGGACATTTGAAACTTTAAATTAGACAATATGTACTTGAAAATCTTTGGGAATTTAGCAGGAGAGAAAATGAACAAGCCATTTGTTTTTAAATCACAAAGGCATCTTTTTTTCCTCTTCCCTGTTTCACCACCAAAATGGTAATATCTTTCCGTGTACTATCTCTAAAGAGGGACTAAACAGTTCTTTTGAATGTTGAAAATGGGTATACTGGTTAAAAGATAATTTAAAAAGTCATTGCCTTCCTGTGCTGCTGGTTAAACATTTCTGGAAATGTCTCAGGTTTTCTTGGAATTAGTGTCAATACCTGCTTATTCTGTAGCTAAGATAGCATGGCACACACCAAACACTGGGATTGATGATATTATAGAACCCA